TCAGTGCAGCGTGGATTCTGACGTTAAGGCGGTTCTCGAAGTCATAGCTGTGGTAATTGTCTCGGGCTTCCTCAAGATACTTTTTCCCTGCATCTAGCGTCTGCAAAAAGAGGAAGGGTCATAAGTTTTTTTTTTCCTTTATTTTATTCTACTTTATGTTTAATCACTGAGAACTTTCTTTAAAAAATACATATCTAATATAGAATACTAATAATTCAAAGGATAATGCACAACTGGTTGGGAGAGTCACAGATCTCCTCCAGAAGAGGTCAAGTATTCAAGAGAGATCCTTTCCATATAAGCTAAGACCAATAAGCAAAGGCGTATTGACAATTTTTTATATTTCCCAGTGCCTACTTCTTCATATCAGAATCCCAACAACTCCAGACTTCAGCTGCTATGAATGTATGGCTATAAACTCCAATGTCTCAATAAATCCAGAAAATACACTAACATGAGTTCAGTCATGAACTAAAAGCTCCTGGACAGCATTAACATTTGCAGATGCTTGTCGTATCGCAATATGACAAGTTGAGATTGTGCCTCTGAAACACATTTTTCATCAAAACTAAATACAAATTCTCAACACAGCATTTTGCCCTGATACTTAAGTGCCGTGACTGTAGTTCACATAACTAAATCCTACGTAGTGCAAACTCAAAGAGAACACTTTGTCATGGAGACTTTTCTGTAGAATGAAAACTATATATATCAACCAGATATTTCTTTTTGCTGTTTGTTCCTATTTGGCCAAACTAGCAACCAGGCAATTGGCAATCAAAATACATAAAAGGAAAAATCAAATGACAAATCCCAAGAGCAACCACAAAGAAAGGCATGTTCCATGAGTGGCTAAAGAACTTTTCAGAAAAAGAAAACAACGATACTGAAAATAACCGAAGATGAAGAGTGCCCTAACACAATAGTGCAAAATCACTGGTAAATCAAGCTGATGTGCAAAAGAGCCTGTTGCCCTTTTTTTCTTTTTTTTTCTTCTGCTTCAGTGAAGAGGAGGAAATTTATAGGCAATGTGCTCAGTATCATTGCCACGAAAGTTCACCCAAATGATGCTGGGATGACAAAAGTACAATCCATGTCCACTGTGATTTTAGTTCATTACTATGTTTAAAACGGATGGCACCACAAAAGCTTAGTCATTTCATAGTCCTACCTATATACTTGTTTATACTTTCCCTTGATTTTCAGAAAAAAATCCAATGCTATTAGTATTGTTATTAACATTATAGTAATCATAGTGCAAATATAATGATAACAATTTTGAAAGTAACCCCTTGCATCTGGGCAACATGACCCTATCATGAAAAATTTGGCTGAGGGCCAGGAATATGATGATTTTAAATAATTTGGCTGAGGGCAACATAAGTCATCATAAGAATTTCATCTTATAGCCAGGGTGAGGAAAGTGATTTGTGATTAGACTCAGTGGGTATTTAGGAAGGGGCTCTTGCATAATTTTCATTGGTAAATGAGTTTAAAATGTCTCATGTGTGAGCCACAACTGGAAAAGCACTGATTCCAGGGAGGACATTATTTACATGCTCAGGATCCTATTCCTGTCCACTGTGACTGGCAGCACAGGGCATGTTGCAGAAGTCTGAATATCAAGAAAATATTTAAAAGTGACACAAACACAAATACAAACTGTTACTTAATTGTTATTGTTATTGCACCAAGTTATTGACTCTTTAGAGAGACGATATGGAGCTTTTACAAGGAAAACAGCCTATTACTATCTAGAAATAGCATATGAAATGACAAATATATGCCTTGAAAAATGGTAAAAAAGCAAAGAAAGCTTATGCAGAAAGTGAGATAACAATACTGCAAAGAGTAGGCCAGGAGTCTTGACACTGCACAAGACTGTTCATGTAGGCCAAGCCAACAAAGCCACAAACCCAGAAGAATTGCCACTCAAGTATAGCTAATACCCAGATTTAGGACCATGTGGGGACAGAGAGGCACTCAGATCCAATGGGTTAATAGCATCAGAAAAAAAAAATCCTGACACTCAAGGAATGGAGAAATCTGGTAAGGATGCACATGGCATACTAACTGACTCCTTGGTGGCTGAAAACTTATGGAACTATCTATTTGCAAGCAAAATCCACAAAACAAAATTACAGTGGACAACACATACCCTTCAGCAATGAGTCAATCAGATCAAAAACAATACTAAAAACAATGGGAATCTATGAATCATTAAAAGACAGTGAAAGTGGGAAAGAGAAATGGGAATATAAATTACTACACTGCAGAATAAAGTTCTAGAAATATAACTAATTAATCTTTTTTCATAACTCTCGGTCATTATGTAACAAAAAACAACATTATATCTCATCAATATCAGAATTATTAACAGGCTGTAAATTAAAAAGAACCAAAAACACATACCATTAAAAATCTCCATGAATGATAAAAAAGCTCAAAATTGCTCTAAAAAGAATTTCTATTTGATTACAACAACCAAAAAATTAGAACAGGGAGTCGAAGTCAATTTAAAACAAAAAACAAAAAACGATGCACCAATGAGATGACATCAAACAATCTTTCAGTAAAGAGAGAACTACTCTGTACAAATGAAAGTGCAAGGAAATGCCAAAATGATAAAATCTCTATAATCCTACATACCAATGGTCTCGAAAGTGCAGGACTTGGTTCCCTAGAATGCAGGAGATTTTATGGGTTTGATTCTATGAAAAACCTTATTATTTGAGAGAGAAGCTCTGAGGTCCAAATTGAAAATTAAAGTACCCAGAAGACACACTTAAAGGGTTGGGAAAAGACAAACTATACATGAAAGATTTATACCAATGCAAGATGAAGCTTTGAAGAAGTAGGCTGTTTCTGCATTAAGTGAAGTGCATACCTATAAATATATATATAACTATGTATGTATATATATGAATATATATATATATATATATATATATATATATATATATATATATATATATATATATATATATATATATATATATATATATATATATATATATATATATATATATATATATATATATATATATATATATATATATATATATATATATATATATATATATATATATATATATATATATATATATATATATATATTATATATATATAATATATATATATTATATATGTATATATATATATAGATATATAGATATATAGATATATAGATATTATATATATAAATATATAAATATAAATATATAATATATAAATATATAAATATATAAATATATAATAATATATATATATATATATATATATATATATATATATTATATATATATAGATATAGATATATAAATATATATATATTATATATTTATATAGAGAGATAGATAGATAGATAGATAGATAGATAATAGATAGATAGATATTAATATATTATATATATATATATATATTATATATATATAATATATATATATATATATATAAATATATATATATATATATATATATATATATATATATATATATATATATATATATATATATATATATATATATATATATATATATATATAATATAATATATATATATATATATATATATATATATATATATATATATATATATATATATATATATATATATTATATATATATAATATAAATATATTAATATATTAATTTTTTTTTTCAAAATGCCCAAACGGTTTAACCTATGTAAAATTCATGACAATCCTTAAAAGGAACCATGTAAATACTTGAAGAAGTATCAAGAGCACTGCTGGCCACATTGTGCTTACCTAAAGTATTACGCAACGGGGTCAGATACGTGAAAACAATGCTAATTACGGCACCTTTAAACATCAGCATTTTTCAACATTGTGTTTTTCTCTAATTATACTTTATCAGACAAGATACCGAGTGCCAAAATGTCGGAAGTGTACTTTCAACAACACCACAGATCATGTCTTATCAATCTATTTCAGGGAAAATAATTCAATATTCTAAAATGCAAGAGCAAGCAACACTGTTATCAAGGGTCTACTTCCAGGGGGATAACTCTATTCCAATAGCACATGTAAGTAGGTGATATCCAAGACAAAAAGACTTTGTGCTCCTACAACATCAAGTGCTGAAAATGTTTTCAAGTGTGCCAACTTCCTCCCCACAGAAAAAGCATAACAAATAGTAGTCCCTTCGTCATGCACACTTCTCAAAAAAAGTATGTGTAAAACCTATATACAAAAGTACACTGTTCTCTTTGAATGACTGATAACATACACCCACAAAATTTGAAATATCAAAGTAATAACTATCAAAGGCACATATCTGGAAACAACAAGAAGGAAAGAAGGAAAATTAATGAAAAAATGAGGTAATAAAGAAAATAAATATATATAAATAAATAAAATAAATAAATAAATAAATAAATAAAAAAATAAAAAATAAAAAAACAGGAGCATTACCTCTTCATCAGCTGCCAGAAGGAGACCAAGTTCATAGGAGGCAAAGGCAGGAATACACAGTTCCTCTGGGTTCAAGAGGCCATGCTGGATGCTGAGTCGAAAATGCTCAATAGCATCGTCCGTTGAGCCCAGAGTATCTAAGACAGCAGCCATGATGAGGTGACGTAGGCCCTCCGTCTCCCCGCACTGTCCCATGGCCTGGCATTCTGAGGGGGATGACACAGTAGATCTTTATCATAGGGCTATAAATTAAAACTAGACTGAGTTAATGGTGGCATGATTTATATGTGTAACCTGTGAGAAGCCTATTCTTGGCATAATGTGATGTACAGGTTATCTGGAAGCAAAAGATTAAGTACAAAATAATAGCCAGGTCTTAAATCTCTCAAAACATTTACAGAGAGGATATCAAGTTTACTGAAGTAAGGCCCTCTATTTCCCTTTCTCTGTTCATTTCATCCCATTTCATGTGCTTTCTTTCATTCAGTGAGGCAGTGAACAGGCAGCATATCCTTGGTTCACCAATTTCTTCATGTATGCACATACAGAGCAGAATTTCTTGAA